TGTTTAGAGATTTTGTGCTCATTTTATGCACGACTTAGTAATGGTTTGAGAGATGAAATAAATTATTACTTTTTAGACAAACTTGATTTTGTTCTTATTTACAGAACCTAAATGAGAATTCCTCTCACTACGATTCTGACAATGGGCCTGAAGACGCACATGATGCCACTCCTGTTGTTGTAAGTATAGGGCAGTGTTTCCCAACCAGGGCACACTTTTCATAGCCAAAAGAAACCAAAGGCACACCCAGATATTGTTTGTATGTGGTGTAAAATAATCACCACACACACAAAGACTATACTATAGTGTACATTTTAAAGTTTCTTTAGTGTGCATGTTGTAACATGCAGGTTGGTTTTCTAAATTGTATATGGGTTTTTATTTTTTTTAGGTTGACTATGATTCTGAACCATATTCTCCTCAAAGTTCATCAGAAGGAGCCCAAGTTTGTGTAAGTTTTGTGTAAATTGTGTGGAACATATAACAGTAAAAGTTTAATTGGTATAAAGTGTTTCAAATTATTGTCATGGCTCTACTGGATTTTGTGTAGAATTAAATTAATCATTCAGTAAGTGAATTAATCAGATTTTGTTTTTCTTTTCTCCATGTATAGAGCCTGCATGTTGACAGCAATTCTATTACTAGACGTCCTACTTCCCCACTCTTGTTTGAGGATGAATCTTCCACAGAGCGTGAACCTCCCTTCAGTGATGGACCTAATTGCAGCCAAGTGTCACCAAATACCAGTAACTATATTCATAATGACATGGATGACATTTTTGGATCCAATATTGGAAGTGAAGAAGAATCTTCCCTTTTATTTGAAGATGGCTTTGGTGAGTCAATAAATGAGGAATCACATTTTGGAAAAGTAGGTCATCAACTGGAAAGCGAAGAGACACTTTACACTGGTTCACGACTTACACAAGCGCAGAGTTTTTTACTTATTCTTTCATTTGTTTTGAGACACGGACTCACAGGCATTGCTCTCTCGGATCTCCTAGATTTAATCAATATTCACTGTCCAGAAAACACACAATTAACCTCAAAGCATCTGTTCTTAAAAGAACTTAAGCCAGTAGAAAGTCATCTACAATGTCACATATATTGCCCAAACTGTGAGTACTATATTGGTGAACAGGATGGTGAAGGACAATGTGTTGTATGCAACACAACATGGGATAAAACCACCTCACTGAAGAATGGAAACTTCTTTATATACTTGCCAATCCAAACACAGTTGGAACATCTTCTTCAAAGGGAAGATATTGCCAATTGTCTCAAGTCAAGAGACCGCACATGTAATTCTGACATTTTTGAAGACATTAGAAGTGGAAAAATGTACTGTAATCTGAACAAAATTGGAGGCCCGCTTGACTGTACTCATGGATACTCCTTAACACTCAACTGCGACGGAGTGCCTGTATTTAAATCATCACTCTTTGGTATTTGGCCATTATATGGGATTGTAAACGAGCTTCCATACCCTGTGCGCAAAGACAATGTTCTTCTTTTTGGTTTGTGGTTTGGCGATAAAAAGCCAAATGTTAATACATTTTTAAAGCCATTCACTTTAGAGTGTCAGAAGTTGTCAACTGCAGGCTTTACATTAACAAGAAATGGCATTGCAGAACAATGTAAAGTTGTGGCTGCTCTTATGATGTGTGATTCGGTAGCTAGGCCCATACTTCAAAACATGACCCAGTTTAATGGCCTGTATGGATGCAGCCTTTGTTTACATCCCGGTGAACAAATTGAAAAGGGTCATGGCACTGTCAGGGTTTACCCATACAAAGACGTTCCAAAGAGGGACCACGCTTCAACCATAAGTGATGCAAGGGAGGCTTTATGTACAAAAAAATCTGTGAGGGGTGTTAAAGGACCCACTTGTCTGATAAATATTCCACACTTTGACATCATATCTGGCATGCCTCCTGACCACATGCATAATATACATCTTGGTGTGGTTCGCCAAATGGCAAGCATATGGATGGACAGTGAAAACCATGAAAAGCCATATTATATTGGCAATCGAGTGAATGAACTTGATCAACAGCTCTTATTAATTAAGCCTCCTTGCAATATCACAAGAGTGCCCCGATCTCTTCAGCAGAGAAAGTTTTGGAAGGCTTCTGAATGGCAGAACTGGTTACTGTTTTATAGTGTATTTGTGCTAAAAGGAATTCTGCCCCAGGTATTTTACCAGCACTGGTTAATCCTTGTCACATTCATGTTCTTGCTTTGCAAAGACATTATTACAACAGAGGATGTACAAAAATGTGAAAAACTTGTTGTAGATTTTGTCAAACAATTTGAAACACTGTATGGGAATACCCATGTGTCATTTAATGTACATTTATGTCTTCATTTGCCAGAGTCTGTCAGGAATTGGGGACCTTTGTGGGCCCATTCTGGGTATATTTTTGAGTCGTATAATGGTGAAATACTGAAAATGTTTCATGGCACTCAGTTTGTTCCCCTACAGATAATGAAAAAATTCACATATAGACAAATATTGCCTCTTTTAAGGAATGAGTCACTGAGAAATGCTGTTCCTGAATGCATTCAGTTATTTAGTAAGTTAACTGGCCGAAAGAGAATGAAGCAGTTTGAAAGTGTAAGTGATCAACTTGTTACTCTTGGTTTGCATTATTCTCGAAAACTTTCAAGCGAAGAGTTGCTGGTCATGAGAGAGCAACTTTCAGTTACCACAGATACAGTTGTGAAAATATTCAGGCGACTTCTAGTCAACGGAGAGCTGTATTACTCTCAGGAGTTCACAAGGGTAGTGAAAAGGAACAGCTACACAGTGCTGTTGCAGAATGGACACATCATCACTGTATACTATTACGTTGTAGTAGAGCAACATGGTAACAGAAAATGCCTTGCTTTTGGGAGAAGGTATGACAGGTCATATAGTACACCGATTCATGTTGAAAATGTAGTTGGTCTGAAGAGGGAAATCCGTGGTAGAAAACAGATATTTGATGTGACACTGTTCAAAAGAAAATGTATGCTCATTGATCTACCACATTATGCAAGCCTCTATGCATGCATACCTCCAAGATCCAGTGTGGAGGATTGAAAATGTAATTGTAAAGTACATTTCAAAAATAAATCTTAATTGGTAATACAGATTGTTGTCTTCATTGCATAATGCTATATATATAATTATATATATTATAATTTGTAGCATATAAAGACGGACCCTCATGTACAAATATAGTGCATGTTTGGTCGTGATTGCAATACATTTTATATATTTATCAATATATACACATATATGGTCTATGCTTATATTGCAATATACTGGAAAATATAAATACTAAATATCATATATGATAATATATTGTTTAATATAATGCATGATATTTTCCAATATACTGCAATATATTTTTGTTTCGTAAGGGATAGCACAAGATAAGCGAACAAAAGGTTATTAACCCTAATCCTAACCCTAACCCATTAAAATAAAAACTAAATCTCTTACTCTGGCATCAAAGAACAAGTATAAAATCGCAATCTTGAACATAATAATAATAAAAACGTATGCAAATTATACATTTGGCAAAATAAGAGGCAAGTATATAGTACTGTGTATTCTAGTGCAAGCAATATGCAGTTATATGTTAGCATCTGCACATGTTAGCAGCAGTATGTTTACATCTGTACATGTTAGCAGTAGTATGTTTACATCTGTACATGTTAGCAGCAGCATGTTTACATCTGTACATAAGCAGCAGTATGCTTACATCTGTACATTAGTAGCATGGGGCTCTGGGACACAGTGACTCAGTAAAGTGACAGTGACACATGTGGTTCTATATTGCACATTCTGATATTAGTTAAGGCTGTTGCACCGACGTATGACAAGTGAGATCAGGTCGTCAGTGTTCATTAGTCCTCATTCATTAGTCCTCTGCTTTTTGTACAGTCTGACAGCAGCAGGAAGGAAAGACCTGCAGAACTTCTTTACACAGCGAGGGTGAATAAGTCTGTCACTGAAACTGCTCTCCAGAGCAGACAGAGTCTCCTGCAGGGGGTGACAGTCATGGTCCAGCATAGATGTTAGTTTATCCAGGACCCTCCTGTCCCCCACCTGCTGTACTGTGTCCAGGGAACAGCCCAGGACAGAACTGGACTTCCTGATGACTTTGTCCAGCTTGTTCCTGTCCCTCTCTGGGATGCTGCTGCTCCATCAGACCACACCGTACAAGATGGCTGATGCCACCACAGAGTCATAGAATAAGTAGTTTACCTAGTGTTGAAGACTAGGGGTGGGAACCTAAGGGTACCTCACGATACAATACGATACACGATACAAAGCTCACGATAACGATAATATCACGATAACGATATCACGATAACGATTTTATCACGATATGACGATTATTGATATATTGGTCAGAAATATACAATATGCCAATTTATGGCATAAATAAAAGAAAAATTACTCTTTATTTCATGATAAATAGAATGGAGATGCGTAATGTAGCTATATTAAGTATTGATACCAATTTATTTTTTTAATTGTAAAAAAAAAAAATAACAAAATTCAATTTTTTTTTTCTTTTTTTCCAAAATCGATATTGATACTTGGCAAATGCATATCGATAATCGAATCGCGGGAGAAAGTATCGCGATATATCGAAAAATGGATATATCGTCACACCCCTATTGAAGACTGGATACAGTTAGGTGAAGGTTAAGGTTAACTTTGTTCTTTTACCACATATGTTGATGCTGAGAACCTGAGCTTAAGGATGCTACTGTACCTATTGTACATGTGTTTAGTGGTAGTGGAACCCAGAGCACCTTGAACTCCACACATGTTAACCCCACACAGAAAGGCCCGGGCCGATGCAAAATTGAACCCTCAATCAAAACATTTCTTGATTAAATTTGACAAATACTCTATCTATTTATTACAATACATTTGAATGTTGTTTGTATTTCCAGGAGAGAGCGGCGCTGGGAAAACCGAGGCCAGTAAATACATCATGCAGTACATTGCGGCCATAACCAACCCAAACATGAGGGAGGAGGTGGAGAGGTGGGAGTCCGGCATGTCCACGTCTGCTTTTCCAAAACACTTCCACGTCACATCTGCTTTTCTCAAACACATGTCACATCACGTCACATCACGTGGCTTCATTCCACTTCCACCAGGACAGAGATCACAGATAAACAGATTGCAGGAAGTACAATTGGCCAATCAGGAATGAAGCCATGACGTTCTCAGTGATAAAAAGCGGTAGACCCAGTTCTGTTCTGGCAACAATTCCTGAAACTGATGATTTAAGGCTTCTCGTTGTTTTTTTGCATTTTACATACATCACAACCAAACAGCAGCAATTATTTAAAGCAAAAACGTCAAGCCGTCATGGAGCAAATAGGTCTTACGGTACAATTTCAGATGGTTTCCAGCTCATGAAATAAAATTGGCTAATGTTCTTTGGATCCCAAAGCTTAGTGAATATATAATTCTTTCCACATTACTCAAAATAAAGCTACAATGAAGCCCCTTGAGAACATCTTCAGAGATAGTACTTGGTACACTTTGTGTTGTTTGATTAAAAATACTCAACACATTTTAATTCAACGCCATTAAAGAATAATCTGAGTCATAAAACTGCTTCTCATTATGGTTAGGTCTACTAAATTAGTTGATAGAGAGTGTTAGGGCTGTATCGTGTCTTGTATGTGTGTGTTCTACTGTATCGCTTTTGTATTGATGGATTTTTCAGGTTGAACTTGTTTTAGCCATGTTACATCTCCTTTCCTCAAACTTTTCCCTTTGTCTTTATTCAGTGTGAAGAACGTCCTGCTCAAGTCCAACTGTGTGCTAGAGGCATTTGGTAACGCTAAAACCAACCGCAATGACAACTCCAGTCGCTTTGGGAAATACATGGACATCAACTTTAATTTCAACGGAGAACCGACAGGAGGACACATCAACAACTACCTCCTTGAGAAGGTACGAGACACTGCTGAAGTCAGGTAGTGCACATACCTCCTTCCTGACTGCCTGGCTTTTTGACTCGTGTCGAAAGATCCAGGAAAACTGTGTTGTGTTTTAGAATTCCATCTAGTACCAGGTTTTAATTTCTCCATCTGGACGGAGTGAAGTCAAACAATTTTTGCAAGACAGTGACATCACTGTTTTCAAACGAGGCAGCGGTTAATTTCTTATTTTTTTCTGCTCTCATGGCCACAGCCTTAGAGCTACAGAACTGAAAGTCATATCACTAATAGTTGATTATGGCCTGAGCGTAATATGAACTCGAAAGCACCACCTATGGGAGGCGCCAAAGTTGCAGGGTCAAATCCCTGCATCCATACGAGAGAACTATTGCATGACGCAGAGGGTGCATGTCCCACATTTGACCACTAGGGGTGTACTAAATCATTTAAATTTGCTTTTTGTGCATAATCCAGGTCAGATCAGGCTGCAAATCAACGGCAAGTACACCGCATGCCGCTTATCGGACTAACTCGCCTTCAATTTAGTTTTTTATTTGTTCTTCTGTAAAGCGTCGTTGAGTGAGTCACAAAAAACCGCTATACAAGTATGATGTATCATTATTAGATAAATATAATAAATGTAAACACATGTGATAAAGAAAAGCGACGGACTATTAAACAGTTTGCTTATTTTGCTGTTTCGTTCTCGCATTGGTTAGTTGCTTCAGACTCTACACATTTTACAGAGGCGTGTTACACCCCAGCTCTGACTATAAGAAACATGTGCCTCTTGAAATTTGGTCTCCAAGAGAGGATACACCTATTGCAGGAGAGTGGTATTACATTACATTGGTCATCGTGGATAGATTAAGGTAAAAAAATGAACCCAGTTTTGGGATTATCCATAACCAATCCCTTCATATTCAATGAAAAAAGTTGAAAAAAAAAAAAAAACGAATCCAGCTTCATTTGCTTTGAACAAATTACTCAGGACACCATAAAGCAAACTGTTTTTGCTTCAGTCCAGAGTGGTTCAGCAGCAGTCAGGAGAGAGGAACTTCCACTCCTTCTATCAGGTAAAGAACAGAGCACAAGCAAATCAGCTCTCTCTTCACCACTGTCTGCATCTGTCCATTGTGAAATATACTTTGTGTCTTATTCCAGTTGCTCCGAGGAGGATCTGAAGACGTTCTGAAGCGGCTCTTTTTGGAGAACGACCCTGCACTTTACACATACACCAGAGAGGGCGCTGCAGCCACCGTAAGCCTGAACTCTGCCTTCTTACTGTTCACTTTGTACCGTTGTAACGCCGAGATACACTTCCTTGAAGAGATGCACTTCCCCAGCTGTTTATGATGTAATGCAAAACTGCGCATGCGCGTCTCACGGCAACCGAAGCATACCAAGATGGCGGACCGTGAATTGCTTTAAAAGTTGAAATACGAACGAATTAAGACACGAATGTCACTTTTAATGCAATTTGAGGCGAGATGTTGATGGTTCCGTTTTGTCACATGTGGGTTTTAAGAGTCAAAGTTTCGTGCAAAGTTTAGTTTAAGCAGTCAACTGCGCCTGTGAAACCACAAAGCTAATGTTTTCATAGCAGTCCGCGGCTGCTGACGTAGGCTGATGACGCGTCCTGTGGCAACTCTACAGCTTACAACTGGTCTGTCGGGTTGATAATGGAAATAATAAATTTCATTCAATACATGTATCGTACTGTATTTAATATGATTAACAATAGTGTGTTCAAACAAAAAATTTAATTAGATTGATTTTTTTCCCCATTTTCCATTATCAACCCGACAGACCAGTGTAGAGTGGCCACAGGACGCGTCATCAGCCTACGTCAGCAGCCGCGGACTGCTATGAAAACATTAGCTTTGTGGTTTCACAGGCGCAGTTGACTGCTTAAACTAAACTTTGCACGAAACTTTGACTCTTAAAACCCACATGTGACAAAACGGAACCATCAACATCTTGCCTCAAATTGCATTAAAAGTGACATTCGTGTCTTAATTCGTTCGTATTTCAACTTTTAAAGCAATTCACGGTCCGCCATCTTGGTATGCTTCGGTTGCCGTGAGACGCGCATGCGCAGGTTTGCATTACATCATAAACAGCTGGGGAAGTGCATCTCTTCAAGGAAGTGTATCTCGGCGTTACACCGTGTGTATGTGACTTAGAGCTGTCGTCCTCAGACTTCGTACAATGACCGCTCGAGCCACAGGGCAGTGCTGAGTGCGCTGCAGGTGATTGGGTTCACAGAAGAAGAGATCCACACAGTGTACGAGACGCTGGCCACAATCCTGCTGCTGGTACGTCCCACTTCATCTGACAAAATTTCAACTGTATTTACACTTTGTGTGAAGCTCCAAATTACACGACAGAGCATAAGGGTCACATTTAGAAAATAAATTAAAAATAAACTTTGAGATTAAAGTTGTAAGGAAATCCTTATTTACAAGAATACAGTCGTAATGAAATCATTATTTACAAGCATCAAAGTCGAAATATTATGAGATTCATCTAGAAATATTATGGAATAAATTTGGAGGGAAACGTATTGTTATCATTGGTGCGTATTATAATGGAGACATTGGAGGACTGTGTTTGTGCATACTTTCAACTTGGATTTGTGTACGATGAGATACTGAGCCTTTTAGCACACCACCGTTGCATCATCACTCTACATACTTTGACACAACGCAAGCATGTAGGTTTGTTTTGTTGGAAGAACTATACAGATTTTGAAGAAATCACTTCTTTTGTGGAGGAGGAATTGTCAGGAAGTGGTCGGCTGCATGGATATTGATGGTTACACCATAGAGCCATCCAAAGAGGAATTGTTGTTTCGCAAAGAACCATTTGGATTTTTCTCAATTTTTTTACCCAAACGTGTGTTTATGCTGGGGATCAAAGCTTCATCTATGGAAGCAGCACCGCAAATCAACGAATAGAGTCGAGGTGGGGAATCCTGCAGAAGCAATCCGTTCAGTTCTGATTGGACATATTTCAGGCTCTAAAAGTTGATTGACATTTCGGTTCTGCTTCCTCAACATTATACACATATGTTTTTGTTGTTGTATTGTTGTAGTATTATTGTACCCGTTTCTTGTAGCATTTAATTGATTCTTCAATGTTGAACAGAGATTACAGTGTATGCCCACAGGCCCTAGGTGTTTGCTTACGGAGAGGATGAGGTTTCATTCACAATTGACAGTTCTGCTCCTCATCTTTCCGCTCTGTCACCTTGTTTAGCATATTCTCTTAATGTAATATTATTAATAGGGCTGGGACTCGATTAAAAAAATGTATCTAATTAATTAGAGGCGTTGTGATTAATTAATCGCATTTTAATCGCATATAAATATTTGTCCTGAGAACAGTGAGAGGTAATTTTTTTCACATGGATTTTTAGTTTACCATTGAATAATGACTGAATACATAAACTTAAGCAACACATGTTCATTGTGGATGATCAGACGGCCTTCTTTCCCATCAATAACGTATCTGTCATTGCCTCCACACACTCTGACAACAAAAGACAACAAAAAAAAAACAAAATCCACTGCACAAACAGTGAGCACTAAAGCTTATAATAAGTTTTTGATGTGTGCATTCGAACTAAAACATCAACAATAACAGCTCACACACCTGTGTCGCTCCTACTCCTTTGCCTCCTCCTTCTCTGAGGAGTCGCTTCTCCTCACACAACATAGCTCCATACACAGCACTCTTTCCCTTCTCTAACCATGGATCTAACTCACTCATTGCTAAAGTTGGTCTATGCTTGTTATAATGTACTTTTGAACAAGAAAAGTCACAGAGCTCAGTTGGCGCACCAGTATAATCGGTCCGTCTGAAACTTATCCCCCAGTGAGGAAGGTTCCGCAGTGGAAAAAACACATGCGATTAAAATGCGTTAATGTTTTTAATGCACTAATTTGAAGTCCCAGCCCTAATTATTAATAACGTATTTCATGAACGATACACAGTATATGTGATATGAAACTGTACAAGTTTACAGTGTTGTGCATGAACAAGTTCAAAAGAACGCACACTAATTTTTTCGTGAATGTTGAACTGAATACAGCCATTTTTTAACTTGAACGTGAATTAGTTCACATTATGTGTCATGAACGGCAGACATCACTGTAAATGAAAGTTGGAATTAGTTTTCCATTGAAAACTGATTGACATCTGTTTTCTCTTTTGAAACGCAACGAGAGAAAGTTCCTCCCTCCTGTATTCTTGCTGGTGCTGCTTAAATCATGTATCACCAGACCAGTGGCGGAGCCAAAGGGGTAGCCAGGGTGGCCACTGCCACCTCTTAAAATACCCTTGCCACCCCCAGGGCCCTCCCTCGGAAGACGGCAATGTATTAATGTGCATATCTTGTGAATATTCCGCGCATTTTACGCCGAAAACTAAAAATTCCCACGGTTTCCACCGTTTGTGAACGCACCCCGATTCTGTGTTGAGCCAGTGCGCCGCTGTATGTTAGTGCTTTTCATTGGTTATTGGACTCACATGTGCCCGTGTGATGAAAAAAAAGAGTAAGTTAGCGGCACAGGGCCAGATCCATGAACTGTTTACATTTGTTCAGTTTTTAGTACTTATGAGCAGAGATGGGACTACTCAGTTTTGCTCCCATTGGAAACCATGTAGATCTTGTCTCTCATCCTGTGTGGTGTACAGGATATACAGTGCTTTGCGAAAGTATTCGGCCCCCTTGAACCTTTCAACATTTCGCCACATTTCAGGCTTCAAACAAAGATATAACATTTTAATTTTTTGTCATGAATCAACAACAAGTGGGACACAATCGTGAAGTGGAACGAAATTTATTGGATAATTTAAACTTTTTTAACAAATAAAAAACTGAAAAGTGGGGCGTGCAATATTATTTGGCCCCTTTACTTTCAGTGCAGCAAACTCACTCCAGTAGTTCAGTGAGGATATTTGAATGATCCAATGTTGTCCTAAATGACTGATGATGATAAATAGAATGCACCTGTGTGTAACCAAGTCTCCGTATAAATGCACCTGCTCTTTGATAGTCTCAGGGTTCTGTTTAAAGCCAGAGAGAACCATGAAGACAAAGGAACACACCAGGCAGGTCCGAGATACTGTTGTGGAGAAGTTTAAAGCCAGATTTGGAAACAAAAAGATTTCCCAAGCTTTAAACATCTCAAGGAGCACTGTGCAAGCAATAATATTGAAATGGAAGGAGTATCAGACCACTGCAAATCTACCAAGACCCGGCCGTCCCTCCAAACTTTCATCTCAAACAAGGAGAAGACTGATCAGAGATGTAGCCAAGAGGCCCATGATCACTGTGGATGAACTGCAGATAACTACAGCTGAGGTGTAGGTGAGGTGTTGTCCTATGGACAGACTGTCCATAGGACAACAATCAGTCGTGCACTGCACAAATCTGGTCTTTATGGAAGAGTGGTATTTCTCAAAGATATCCATAAAAAGTCTCGTTTAAAGTTTGCCACAAGCCACCTGGGAGACACACCAAACATGTGGAAGAAGGTGCTCTGGTCAGATGAAACCAAAATCAAACTTTTTGGCCACAATGGAAAACGATATGTTTGGTGTAAAAGCAACACAGCTCATCACCCTGAACACAGCATCCCCACTGTCAAACATGGTGGTGGCAGCATCATGGTTTGGACCTGCTTTTCTTCAGCAGGGACAGGGAAGATGGCTAAAATTGATGGGAAGATGGATGGAGCCAAATACAGGACCATTCTGGAAGAAAACCTATTGGAGTCTGCAAAAGACCTGAGACTGGGACGGAGATTTATCTTCCAACAGAACAATGATCCAAAACATAAAGCCAAATCTACAATGGAATGGTTCACAAATAGACGTATCAAGGTGTTAGAATGGCCAAGTCAAAGTCCAGACTTGAATCCAATCGAGAATCTGTGGAAAGAGCTGAAGACTGCTGTTCACAAACGCTCTTCATCCAACCTCACTGAGCTCGAGCTGTTTTGCAAGGAAGAATGGGCAAGAATTCCAGTCTCTCGATGTGCAAAACTGATAGAGACATACCCCAAGCGACTTGCAGCTGTAATTGCAGCAAAAGGTGGCGCTACAAAGTATTAGCGCAAGGGGGCCGAATAATATTGCACGCCCCACTTTTAAGTTTTTTATTTGTTAAAAAAGTTAAAATTATCCAATAAATTCCGTTCCACTTCACAATTGTGTCCCACTTGTTGTTGATTCTTGACAAAAAAAATATTTTTTATATTGTGTGTGAAAAAAAGTATTTATTTGAATATCTCAGGAAAAGAGTAAAACGAACTGAACTTTGAACTAGTTCAACTTTGAGCGTGAACTGTTCACTTTGAGCACGTATGAACTGAATTTGAACTAGTTCCGAAAAGCTGTGAACTAGTACAACACTGCAAGTTTAGTGTAAGCACCATTTTTACATGTTTATTGTATTCATATAATTTACATGTCCATCCATTTTCTACCCTTTAATCCATTTCTGGGTCAGGGGGCTGGCAATCAGAGATGCCACCCAAGTCTCAGCACCAGCCCCTCACTGACCCTCTGCAGGTGGTGAGTCCACCGGAGGGCGGCTGCTCTCTGAGTGTGAGCATAGCCTTGATCTTTCAGTGGGGGCTTTGGGAAAAGTGTCTTGCCCAAGGACACAACGACAGCAGTCATCAGTGGGAGTCGATGGAGAAGGTGCAGAGGTGGGGATTGAACCCACGACCTTCTGGCCTTTAGACCAATGCTCTACCAACTGAGCTACTGATTTAGGAAATGTTATGCCAACATGATTGTAATGAGATTGATTTGAGTGAGTACATGGTTTGGGCACGCGCCATGCTCTGATGATGTTGTTACATGTTGCTACGCAACAAAGTAATATAACGGCTGTACTTTGAATAAACGAGAGATGGAGAGCAACACAGTTGTCCTATCGTCTGATGCGAATTCTGTTAACTTCATCTTTAACAGAAGAGGGTAAATTAGAAACTACAAAGAAATGAACTCAAGATTAGCCTCTATATTTACTATTTACAGGTTTCTAAACAGCGGCACTATATGCAGTACTGTGGTGCAAAGCACTTTTACGTACAAACAATTTGAGAAACACATCTCTAGATTATCTGTGGGGGTGGAGAGGAGAATTCAGCCATTTAAAAAAATAAGCTGCAAACCTAAGGTGCAGTGATGGGCAGATGAATCCTCACAACACACCAAGGCCGGTTACAGTCGATGGGCCGGAGAACAAACACTGCACCGCTTGTAATAATAATGACAATTTCACCGTGAAACATAAATGCTGGCCTATTGTTCAATAAATGTAAAAACATATTTTAGTCTTTATCTGATTTTCATTGATCACAAAAAATGCATCGATTGCAGTTTGTTTAATTGAAAGTAGCTACTTTATATCGAGCTACTTTTAACAGGATTTTGTAACTTAGCTTAATACATTTTAGTCCTATCCTAGTTAAGAAAAAAGGTATTCCTAAAGAATCCTAGCTCCTAAGGTGAGATTTCTTAAAGTGATAGTTTGGAACTCTAACTGAAATACACATTTTACACATTCCGCATTCCCTTATATTAGCTATTGCTCAAAATCCACAATGCCGTCCACTTTAACCAATCAAGTGATGCCAAGGGCTGTCAATCATCGCACTCGTGCTCGTATATAATTAGAATATTAAATATATACATACACACATACATACATACACATGCACACACGTATAAATATATTTTAAAAAATCTCTTTCAGATTTAAAAACAATTAAGTTCAAAATGTGCACTTTGGCGCCTCAGCCCGTTAATCAGTGTTGGGAAAGTTATTTAGAAAACCTAATACATTATGTATTACTTATTACTGTTATTTCAAAATAATGTATTACACACAATATTACTGTATCTGAATTGTAATGCATTTAAGTTAGTTCTCCAAATATATATATAAACAAAAGAGGATTAGGATTTAATCATCTCAAGTTCAATTATTATATAATAATTTCAGTCTAATAATTGAAGGGACTCAATCCTGGTTCACAGCAGCTCACCGCTTTATTTACTAAACATGATGGAAGTGCATCATTCTTGCCGCTGTTAAAAATGCGCCGCGTCGCTGCTCATCGCGCATTTATTTTCCGTCCGTTGCGTAGTGGGGGCCTCTGTCTCAAACAGGACTCTGTAGAGAGTCATATCTCTGTGAATATGGACTATTTTTTTAATGCTTTAAAGATCAAACCAGAGCTTAGATTCTCATCTAGATTGCGTGTCTCTGTTCATACTTCTACTTTGAGCCCGTTTTTCACTCTCTTCTTTTCTTCTGCGTTTATTGACTGCACCTGACGGCTTGGACTGCCTTTTCATAATAAAGTTGACTAAAAACATGTCTACCTATCTTTCACACTTTCTGGGATGCGCGTTGCCCATCCCCCACCTACTCACCTTGGTTTGATAAGAGTGCAGCAGACAGCAGCAGGGTTCAATGTAGACAACTTTTTATTGTTTATAGTATACAAACTTTTTTTTTTTTCAAACTTACGTGATGGGAAAGACTTAGCAGAATAATATAAAAAAGAAACTTTTATTTTTTTTAAAGACTGCAATTTTGCGCCCCATCCTGCAGATGGCGCCTCAGGCGTCCACCTGGGTCGCCTATGCCCTGGGCCAGCCCTGCTTATGTACACCATACCACAACTTCATGGGGGAGAGGGCAAATTGCAGCCAGTAATACTGGAAGAGGGAGCAGTTTGCAAGGAGCAGTGCATACCAAATACCCTTGTGATAACACAATCTTTGAAATCTACGCTATCATGATGGAGGAAAATGGAAGGGATGCTCCAGTCGATGGATCCACATCTGCAGAACTGTATTCAAAGTTAAGGAATGACATACGGAGAAATATAAACTATTGATATTTTCACTTTCAAAAAGATTTCATTTCACAAAGATCCAACAGGTTCTAAGTTTCCTACAATGTTTCAATTTTGAAAACTCAGGTATTACCAACATTTTTTGTTTCATTGCAGCATTTAATGCCCAATAAAGTTCATTATTTCATAAAGAAGAAAACTTTTCATTCTGACAGCCAACAATCACCCATGCAAAGACGGTATTTTTTTAAACATGAAACTGTTTGGTTTATAACTTTTTTTGTTAAGAGAAAAAAAGTGGGGGAAAAAGAAAATAAACAAAATATGCATGCCATGCCATTGTCTTTTCTACTAAAATAAGTTAAGGGGTTAATAATGGTTTAAGAGTTGTTCCTTGATTCAGGAAATTTAATCTAAATTGAATCATCCACCACTTCTCTGACCAACAACCTTATAGCGGCTGCCAGTTGCCTAAAGCCGCGGAGAGGCGAGATGGGTCCAATAAAAGTGTATGACGCGCTAAAATAGAATAGAAAAACAAACAGAAAAATATTTCAAAAAATATTCAAAAACTATAATAGCCGTCAGCAAAAATTATGGCTCCCCAAACAGACCTCTCTCCTTTCCCTGTGCCCATTCATAATTCTGTGTACTGCACCCAAACACACATGCAGGCCCACACACACGCCTCCCATCCCCCAAACCTTGTACAGTCTTCCGAGACAACTGCTGTTGTGATTTAGGGCTTTACAAATATTGATTGAATTGAAATTTAGTTTAACTCACTATGGAAATCAGGGAAATTATAATAGCTGTCAGGCAAGTGCAACATTGATGCATTGGTCTGTGGGGGAATTAAATTTGGACAACAAACTCTACTTTGATCACATCAGATACAAACAAATCCGACCCTGTACAAAACATCAGAGAGTGTTCTATTCTTTCTGTGGTAAGTTCCTTGATATACTTCTTTAAGTACCGTGCTACTTCTTCTTTTTTGTCATTGATTCAGGAAAGTGTCTTTTGAACTAGTTTGAATGCAGTTGGTTTCTGCTCTCTGTAAATTGTTTTCAGTGCTTTAGGTGTAAGTGCCCTACAGCAGTCAAGGACAAACATGGGCTTTGGAATGATTTCTTTGTGGACTTTCAGAGCTGACTTTTCTGCGACATTCATAGTTGGAAAGAACATCTACGAGCTCCTCGTCAACAGAATTATTGCAAAAGAAGGTTTCTCACCCATCATGTGCACTTCTCAGCAGGTTTTCCCGACGTTTCGTCTTTAATCCAAACATTGTTTTCAAGGGAATGAAAGCTCAGACATTGGAGATTTATAACCTGTGGGTGTGGTTAGCCACACCCTAATCCTAAGGCTAACTCATTAACACATCTAACGTCTGTTAAGATGTGCCTCTGCCCTGCACAGCTTCAGAGGTGTGACAGGATCTTGATTTTACATGCAAGTATGGCCACAAATAGGCATACACACGTAGGGTTAAGTGCCTTGCCCAAGGACAAAACGACGGCAGACATCAGTGGGAGTCGGTGGAAGTCTTGTCGTGGGGTCGGCTCAAACCCACGACCGTCAGGCTCGTGGGTTCAGGCTCAAAGGCCAATGCTCTACCAACTGAGCCACTTTTATTTATGATAATGTGATGTTGATGTGCCAAAATATTGAGAATCTCCTTGCAGCTGGTACAGAATGCAGCAGCTCGGATGCTGATTGGCATCAGACGACTAAAATAATCCAAGTGCTCGTTTGGTGAGCAGTTGTGTTGTCAGGCTCAGAAATTCCAGCGTGAGAGTTTTTAACGGGTGAATGTGAGTCAGTGTGAAGTGAGGCCCTCACTAGGACAAATAAAAAGGAAAAAGGGTGGCTACAGGAGTCTCCTACCTGACCGGAACAGGAGGATACAGTTGTCTGACTGGACTAAGTTCCTCTCTTGGAGCTCAACTCTGGTTCGGGACTAAGCTCGCCATCCGGAACCCCCTGGCCAGTTCTGCAATGTGAACAACACACACATGCTTTCCTCACAGCCGACGGATCAACAGAGGCTCCTGCAGTTCTACGGGCAGCCACACCGTCTGTCAGTATGGCTGCTGACGGTCATGTGACTAAGTGACGTGATGTATGTCATGCACGCAGCGCGCAGTGAAAAACTTTTTTTTAACTTGACTTCATTCTTGTAAATAATTATTTAATATGACTTTTTTATCGTAAATAGTTATTTATTTGCGTCTTTAATCTCGTAAATAATGATTTCATTATGACTTTAATCTTGTAAATAATGATTTAGTTACAACTTTAATCTCAAAGTTTATTTAAAAACATTTTCTAAATGTGAGCCTTATGGTCCGTCGTACTCAATGAATCCAATGCAGATGGCCAGGCAAGGCAAGTTTATTTGTATAGCACAATTCATACACAAGGCAACTATGGAAGATTTTATGTGTCGTCAGATTTTGAATTTTTTTTAGCTTGAATGTTTCCGTTTGAAATTTTTAACCCTGAAAAAGCCAGTTTGAATATTTTTATCTTTACTTTTCAGTCACTAAAAATTCAGTTTACAAATTTAAATGTGATTAAAATTTCAAAATGACATATTCACCCTCAAAATATTCAATGTATTTTTTTTTTTCAATGTAAAAAATCAGAAATTGAATTTTAAATGGACCTGAATTCATCTATTTGAATGTTTTTAACACCTTGAATATTTGTTTCTGTGAATTTCAGTCACTGATTATCAATTTCATAATGTCAAATTCAACAGTCAAAATTCAACGAGAAAAAATTCAATGGTGAAAAATGCACATGACACATCCGGTGTTCTGACGAGTTATGTGCTCTGTCAGTTGGTCTGCGCATGCGTCATTTTACTGAGGTAAAGACAGGCGCTAGCTTTCAGCAGGTCTATCGATTGATAACATGAATCTAACGGGTTGATATGGGATTTCTAATGAATGGATTGTAATGAAACCAAGGCGAATAACAAGATGATACTACATTAGTTTGATAATGTAAAGATAAAAATATTCAAACTTGCTTTTTCAGGGTTAAACATTTCAAACTGAAGAATTCAAGCTAAAAAAAAAATCTAAATCTGATGACATAGGCAACTCAAAGTGCTGAACAAAATAATCACAGTACATTAAAAAGAAAGATAAAAATATAAAGTCCCTCAGCTGCACGCACAGCTAAACAGAACTGTTTTCAACCTTGACATTGTCAGAGAGGAGGCCTGTCTCACATCTTGTTCCAGATTTTAACAGAATCCATCCATCCATCCATTTTCTTCCGCTTCATCCGTTGCCGTTTTGGTGCGAGGCCATGGAGAGACTTGTACACAAGCAGAGCTGTTTTAAAGTCTATTCTCTGAGCCACAGGAAGCCATTGCAGTGACCTGAAGACTGGACTAATGTGGTCGTACTTTCTGGTTCTAGTCAGGACTCGAGCTGCTGCATTTGAATGTACTGCAGCTGCTTTACTGCCTGTTTGGACAGACCTGTGAGCAGGCCATTGCAATAGTCTAACCTACTGGAGACTGATGTCAAAAATTCCCTTTGACTGACGTGTTCGAGTTGATGCAGAAGTAAGACAAAAGATCTTGAAGTTTAACATCTGTATTTAATTTCCTCACAATCAGATACAGAAATTCCAACAAAGAGAGCTCCTAAAACTAATCCATGTCCCTCTCTGGCCCTGTGCTGACTGTCTTCAAAGACCTTCAGGGAGGTCATATGTAGGAGACTTCCGATGACGTCATCCATATGCGTCCAAGGGTTTTCCATTCGGGTGTGCTGGCGTCCCTTGTCCACTGGGAGGCGTCAGAATGCTGTTGGTGAATTCCCTTTCCGCCTGCTTGTGAGGGACTTTGCTCTATCAGCAGATAATGTTTATTATCTAACGTTAATAATTCGCCTTGTTCAAAGGCGATATCTTTTATGATTCCTGTCTGCTTATCCTGTGTCCTTGTGACTTAATCCCTGAGGGCACAGGTCTTTTTTGGCTATGATTAAAATTAGAGTTCAAATGGTCAAATATTGTCACATCTGTTTAGTGTATATTTAAAATATACAACAAGACAAATGCATGGATAAGAATCTCCAAGTCTGCTTTAGACACTATGTTTTTGATCCTGGCAATGTTTTTTAGATGGTAAAAAGCTGCTGATGTAAGTGATTTGATGTGACTATTAAAATTTAAGTCTGAGTCCAGTATTACCCCTAGATTTCTGCCCTTGTTTGAAGGTTTTAGGGAGAGAGACTGTAGGTGACAGATGACGCTCTCTCTTTGTTTCTGGGGAGCTGAAGGAAGTTGTTTTGTATCCACTCACTGATCTGTTGGATACAGTGAAGGAGTGAGTCCACTGGTCCATGTTCTCCTGCAGTCTGTAAGACATAGATCTGAGTGTCGTCTGCATTAACTGACCTAACGGCAGCATGTAGAGATTGAATAGAAGAGGTCCCAGAATCGACCCCTGTGGTACTCCACAGGTCAGGGCCATATGATCTGAGACACAGTTTCCAATCTCCACAAAGTACTTCCTGTCTTCAAGGTAAGACCTAAGCCAACATAGGGCAGTGCCAGCGACACCAACCCAGTCCTCTAGTCTCAGTAAGAGGATCTCATGGTCGACAGTGTCAAAAGCTGCACTCAGATCTAACAAGATTAAGATTGAGACTTTGCCTGCGTCAGTGTTTAGCCGGATATTGTTTGTCACCTTGACGAGAGCAGTCTCAGTGTTGTGGTGGGGTCAGATCTCATCTTTGGAGATGTAAACACATTTACATACATGATGAATGGCGTCTTCAAAACAAAATGGGCCTCAATAAATTGCCAAAATAACAAGCTGTGGTTTCTGAGCCCTCTGTAGGCAGATTCCCTAGATGGATTTTGTTAAAGGGAATAAGTTAAGTAAAGTTATTAAAATTAGAGTATTTTTTTTATTTCATCCGCCTTTTCTATGGCCGATTCTGCGGGGGGTCTCACTATGGGTTTACAATGTTTATAAATTTATGGGGGATCTTCGTTCTCTCCCTCCACACCAGGAAAGATGGGGTGGCGGTGGAGTTCGCCCAGGAAAGGAGGCGATTTTTGGTCTAAAGCCAAAAAAAACTATTGGACCCAATTATTTTTTTTATTTGGTAGGGGAAAAAAAAAAAACCCCGGAGTTACCGGAGGAAAAACCTTACGCCACGGGGGACCACCGGTGGAGAACATTGGCAAAGAATTTCCCCCCACTAGGGAAAGGGCTGGGGTCGGGACGGGATTCGAACAGGGACCTTTCTTGTGGCAGAGGCGAGGTGCTTATTCCCACTCAGCCACCGGGGCCGCCCCTAAGGGAATTAAGTATTAGGAAAGATTGTTTTATGGGGGGGGAGATTCTTTCTATACTGAAATTTTACTTCTTCAATCAGCTTGGAAAAAAAAATTCCGTCTAAAGACTTAACTTTCTAACATTTTGTTCCAACTTTGCTTCCCTGTGTGGCTCCGGGGGGGGGGGAACACATCTGTGGGAAAAATAATTTTGGGGGAGCTTGGGCAACCATTTAGGGGGGGGGAACACCCCCAAACAAAAAAAAACAAAGTTTGGCTGGACATAATGCAGTAGATTTCAACATGGGAGGGGGGGGGGGGCGGTTTCGGGAAAGGGGGACAGGTTTGCAAAAATTGTTTAGAATCTTTCTTTGTGTGGTTGTTTTTATGGGGGATTGTTCCTTTATATTAAGCGGAATTCTTGTATGTTTTTTGTTAAATAGTTAGTTATGTGGTTGGGGCCCAGGTTATTTTTGCCCAACAAGGGTTTTAATTTTCCTGAGTGATTAACAGAGTGGTCTTCTTTTTTCTCCAGCTTTCAACCCCCACACAGCGCTGCGGGGGAACCCCAAGGGTGGTATTTTTTGTTCATAGGAGTCTTTTGTTCCCATGGGGACCCACCCTTTGCAGGACACAATAACGGTATATCATTAAATTTCCAAACGGGTACCATAGGTGTCGTGTCAAAAAAAAATCTTTTTGATTTGGTTGTTTTTAAAAAATTAGGTTGGTTTTTGCATTAACAGTTTAAGTTGTTAAAAAAAAAACACGAAGAACAAATCAGGGGGGGCATGGGTCCACTACGAGGGGAGGTGTTATGGGGGCAAATTAATTCAATACAAACCATTTCGCAGGTGGTGATAAACATGCGGGGAGGGGGGAGCGGGGATTAAATTCAAAAGTTTAAAACCCGCATCAGTTTGGTGGTAGCAGTTTTTTAAAACGGTAGCGTTGCCCAAAAAAAACAAAAATAATTGATGGGGGAATTTTATTGTTTAAGGGACCAGAGAGAATTACTGTTTTAAAAACAAAACAGAAATTGGTGAAGGGGGAAACATTTATGACGGCATTTAACAGGGCAAAAATTACAAAATGTAGCGTGATGGGAAGCGTTGGTTTTGGATAGGGGGACCCCCTTATTTGCTCATGATGACCTTTTGATTCTTCATTAGGGGGGAATACTTTTTTTTTTATTTATGGTTGGTTGTTTTGGGTACAAATATTTTTGATAATTAAATGTTATGGTCTTTTATTTTAGAAAAAAATGGGCGTTAGGGAAAACATTAAACACCTTTAACTTTTAAAAACTTTCTTTAACTTGGAAGCTTCCATATTTAAGGGACTGTTGGGTCTAAATCAAAAAAAAAAAAAACCTGGGTGGGGCATATTTGTTAAATGGTAGCCAACCTATTTTGCATTAAGTTACAGGTTCTCTATAGGGGGGGGGTACCAGTTTTTTTTGGGTTTTTCATTTTTTTTACCAACCTTTTGTTATTGGTATTTTATTTTAGGCCATCTTTAGGTGGAAATTCAAACACAAAAAAAAATGTGTGTTTGGAAAAAAATAAAAAAAAAAAAAATAAACTTCTCTTTTTCATCAAAACAAGAAATTCAGGGCTTTTAAAGGTGTGCGTGTGGTACGTTTGCTTTGAGATTGGTCAATTAAGGGCAGGTGGAACTGTTGGATGGAGGAAAAGTTATTTTTGCGCTTTGTGATCAACAGGCAAAGAAAGGGCCTTCTCCTTGTAAAAAACCAATTGAACATTAACGGAAAGATGGGGGGGGAAACAAGGTTGTT